TTGCAAAGAAAGTGACGCCACAGAGTTCCAGTCCATGTTAGGACAACAGTGGTTGCTAGTAGTGGGAAAGAAATGATTCAGAAAGACATGAGGGAGGAGAAAACAAAAAAAGCAAAATGCTGCAGCCCTCCCCTCATTTTCCTCTCAGTGCTGACTGTGTAGCACCCCCCCCTTCCCTCCCCTTCCTACTCCTCTGTGAGTGGAACTGGGTTTACATAACACACTGCAGTCTGTGATAACGCAGCACAAACCAATGCTGATGACACTTTCTCTTTAAAGGAAACATACAACATTTGCATTCAGCATAGTGAAATGCAAATTCTGCATTCACTGACAGGTAACCAGCGTGGTTTCAAACAAATTGATTGATCACAAATCCTCTTCACACATCCAGACCTGTTGAGAGTTAATGATGAAAAAGTTAATATTTCCATGTATCATGAATTTTTAAACATTTAATATGTACAGCTCTTTTAAACACTGCAGTCCCAACTGAACTTTGATTCTACAGATCAGGATGCAGACATTTATGTAAGTCTAACTTCTGCACTCTGGGCTGCTGCAGCCAGATATGTCTGGACGGGGTGGTGAGACTGGTCACATTGGAGGGTTGTTGTCCATCCCTGGGACACTCTGTGTATGAGAGAGGGAGAGATTGTGCGTCATTCTGGCAGCTGAACATGAATCAGTAACCAGGACTCTTGCTCTCTCTATTCTTCTCTTACTGTGTGGCTTAAAAGGGATCAAGTCACAATGCCTTACCTCGCTCTGTTCTAACAGCTGGAGCGCTGACGTAGATAACTGAGCTGCATACCTACTGATGATCCGGCTGTAGCTTCAGGGCCCGCTGAAGGGTAAATAACATAATGCTACCATTAAACGGATCCAGTCCGTGAAAATGACTGTAGAGGGGGTTATTATCCAACAGTAGGCCCCCTTTGTGAACTGCCTGAAATGCCCTGCTTGTACTCCAGGCCTTTACTCAGTTACTTAACATTTGCAATTGCATAACTGGCTATTTCACTTTTCATCAGACGGTACAACTTGATCTTCTTTAGTGTGCTTCCCATTGCAGATAGGACTCACTTTATAAGGATCACTTTGTAAAATGGTAAGGAGCTCAGTGAAGTTTTCTGAATATTCATACAGAGTATGCATCTTATCTTGTCACAAGGGTTTAGATAATTTGAAATATTAACCAAGTTAGAAATGAATGCATCTATAATAATAATAAAAAAACTGATAAGGGTTAAATCAAGCAGTGTTACTTTTTTGTTTACCATGATAAAGTAGAAAATGTTTTAAAACCTGACCATCCTTCAGCCATAATTCTAAATTTATTTTAAAAGTTAGGTAACACTCATCCTGAGTCCGCACCCAGCATGGCATCTTAAAACTTAAAATGTGCACAGTGTTCATTAGTTCCTCCCTGGACTCGTTTAAAAAGTCCTCGCCTCAATCATATTAACTCTGTGAACTCTCTGATTGTGAAATCTGAGCCACTCCTCTTCCATAAGTTTTTGATTTTTGTATTTATTTATTTATTTTGACTTTATTCTATGAATTTTTCAGTATTATATTTATTACCTTTATAGTTTTGTTGTTTTTTAACATAAATGTTAATATTTTATTGTCTCAATAAATGATTTACCTAAAATTGTTACCCCTCATTGTCTTTATGAGAATTTTGTTAATTTGCAATATCAGAATAAAGGAACTAAGAGGGTTTAAATAGGAGAAAAAGGAAAACAATGAAAGCATTGTGTCTTTTGTCTGGTATATTATCACCTATAAGGAATATTCCAGGTATGAGTAAGTCTCATAGAAAAAACTGCCTGACCAAAAGCAGCCCTTCTGGTTGAAACTATACGCTCCTTTTCACTAACAGAACTGACGCAGGTGTCAATAGATGAGGCCTGTTTTATGCAAGCAATGGGGGCGAGGGAGTGACGCAGGTTCTCTCTCTGTTACCTTTCACAAAAATTTCCAAGCATTTTTTTTCTCCGCCGTGCTCCCAAGTCAATTTGGAATTGCCCTTTGCTTGATCAATAATTTTAACAGCAATGAAAAAAAAAAACTTTTTGGATCTCCTGATTTCTCTTGTAACCTTATTTCAGTCCCCCAAATATTTTTTTTTCACTGGTCTACAGCAATGTAATTCTTTCCTTCACTGCTGCATTGCAATTTTTCTGTATTTGACTGGTTTTATTTGTTTCACAAAAGTTTAACATGTTTAACAGTGGACCAAGGGGCCTAAAAATCAGAGTTTGGATCAGAATGAGATAAAATCTCATTCCTTTTTATTATTTTAATAGCATTTTAAACTTATTTTGTTCCCCTTCAGGTTGTTAGACTCTCTTTGCTCCAGGGCTAATACAGTATGGCTTTTTGACAATTTCTTTACAATAAGGGTTAAATTATGATCAGACAACTCAGTAATTATGTTTAAGATCTTACAAATTCTTTCTGGATTTCTGCAAATTGATTCCATCCATGTTCTGGAGGACAGGGTTATTCTTGTTGGTCTCCTTATCTAACTGAGTCAGGTCAAAGGTTTTTGCCATACATTTAAGAGCAATATCTCACACAGCTAGAAAGAGAAGGAGGTTGTTTATTTGTACGATATCTTATGGGATTTTGTCTGTTATTTATGAAGAACCTGTTTATTTTCACCTACTGTGTCTCTCTTTTGTAAGAAAAACTGAATAAATCAGCTTACAGAAAAGCTGAGTGGCAAAGTTTTAGCCATCCAGGTCAGTGCCACCAAACTCGGAAAGATGGGCCTCCAAGTGCTTAAAAACATGAGCGCTGCAGCTACAGGTTGCTCTGATGGGAGCCAGCAGAACTGACATAGACTCCAAAGACCACATTTAAGCCTTATTTCAGTGCCAAACAGGTTTTTGGTGTTGAAGGTGTGATGGCATCTCTCCTAGTGGTGCAACATGGCTTAAAACCATTAAATGCAATCTTAATATTTTGTAGTATTCTGCAAGTGGCAATCCCATTTCCACAGTTGGCTACAACCTCAAATGTCGACCCCCTCATAGCAGGTTTAATAAGAGGCTCAATTTAGGAGTGAAGTGGATGGAAGAGCCTGCCTGCATTCTAGACCACAACACTACTGAACATTTTTGGTCTGGGTGTGCGGTTTGTGCTGACCGATGACTATCGGGCGGGCGGCACAGGCTGCTAATGACTTTTGTTAACTGGTTTTTGTTTTGTCTCTTAAAACTTTAATCCATAAATCTAACTGATGACAGGTTAACCTGTTTGACATTGGCAGAGAGGGTTTTGACACATTTTGCTGTGTGCAACCTTTATGCTAAACACTGCTGCTCAACCCACAGATGCATTTTCCTAACAAATGCGGAACCATCTATAGGCAAATAAACCGGCTTTCCAACAGCTAGACCTGTTGCCGAGAAGCATTGTTACATGAAAAATAAAACAACTAAACACACAAACTCACTTTTTTTTGTGCCATAATTATGATTAGACCCACCAAGAGAAGCAAGAACAATAACAATCTTTAATTTTTAAGCATGACCGTATGGCTAAAATGTTAATAAAATAAAGAAATTGCATTTTCTATTTTATTCAACTCCTTATGGAGGTTTAATACGGTGACAATTCGGTGCATTCAGGTAATCATTGTGACACTGATCTCTACACGGAATAATCTTTCTTCTAAATAAACACATACTTACTAAAATCCTATATGTTTTTTTTTGTTGTTGTTTTTTATATTGTAATACATCATTACACGTTATTTCCTGGTGCCCTGTAAGAACACTGTAAAATTTAATTTTATCAGTAGTCATCAGTCACTGGGCAGGGTTTCCTCTGCTTTATTCAGCGTAAATGGTCTGCAGTCTACTTAGCGTGCAGGGCAACAGAGCTGCAGCTTATCTACAGCTGAGAGGAAGCGGTTAGATAAGCTCATCAGGAAGACCTGCTCTGTCCTAGGATGGCCTCTCGACCCAATACAGGTGCTTGGAGAGAGAAGGACTCAAAAATGATATCAATGCTGGCCCTAATTTCCCAATCCGTGCATGAAGTCAAATAGCTTTTCCAGCGACAGACTGCTGCATCCCAAAGGCCCAATGGAGCATTATCGCAGATCCTTCCTCCCAGCAGAGGTTTAACTTTATAACCATGACTGCACCCAAAAGAAAAATCTGTTTTTATACATACACCTAATTTTTTTGCTCCTTTTATAACACAGTCCACTCGATTTTACATTTCCTAATTTCTTTAGATGCTATTTTGTAACTGTACAGAATTCCTTTTGATTTATTTCCTCTAATTTTAGCTTTATTTTCTTATGTTTGATTTTTATATTTAATACCCTAATGTGTATCTGAATTCCTCCATTAGTGTTTTACTTTGCTGCTATGAATATTTCTATCCCAGATGCTAAAGTTTTCCTCAGTTGGTGCAACTCAGATGGTCTGGAGCCACTGTGCTGCTTTAGGGCCTGAACCACTAAATGCCAGGTGATTATTTATAACCTGAAGCCTATGAAAAGGTTATGTAGGAAGATAATTATCCAAAGGATCCCAGCAAGTACATCTCGGGATGGCTTATAAATAGGAAAGATTTAATCAAGAAGAAAAGCAAAAACTGAAGAATACTTTTCACTACAGAGGAAAACAATACAAGTTTTGAGTCAGTTGTAGGAACATCTCATCTCAAATCTTGAAACCAGTGACGCCCTTCCATTTTGGCCAGTATTTTTTAAATAATAGTCAATTCCTTTTCTCAAATGCCCCTTTTATTTGTATTTAGGTTCAAGACAAAACCAGAAACTGATGCATTTTTTGATAGGGAATGATTGAAAAAGAGATTAGCAGCTACCTCAGGCACTCATCTATGAAGGCTTTGTTTGTTGTTTGAAAGCTGAATTTAACATTATGTTTCATAATCTCACAACAACTGTGTGATTCACTCATGATTCATAGTGCAAAAATAAAAAAAATAGAGGCTTCCCGGCAAGTTTCGGTTATGTAAAACAACCCTTTATTTATTCCTCACCTCTGCTGTACACACCATAAACAAACCGACACACACTCACCCACACACAGGTCATAAGAAAATATACAAACCAAAACATGGCTATATATACACCATGTAGACTGAACACTGATAATACAGTGGGAATGGTTTAAAAAAAGAATACAAAAAAAAAATTTAACTATTCATCGTCCTCTTCATCGTCCTCTTCGTCACTGATGACATATTTTTTAGCCTTCTTGGTGGTTGTTTCCTCGTCGTCTTCTGCCTTCCTCTTGCCAGACCCCTCGCCCTCCTGATGACAAAAGAGGATAAAAAGATATAAGAGCTGACAGAAGAAGACATTCAGTCTGGCTTTTCTTCGCTTTATCAGGTCCAGCTCTGTGTTTTCACATCATCTTCTTCTGATTTCAGACATCAACACTCGGTGTGGATGAGAACAGTTAGTGCATCCTGTCCAGCTCAGTTCATATCAGGATAAAGGGGAGCAGTGGGCGTTTTACCATCCAGTGTCCTACCTCACACCGCCCCCTATCTGCCAACCGAAGCTCTGCACCTACCTCATCACTGTCCAACTTCTTGGCCTTCATCAGCCTCTGGGCTTTATCATCATCGGAGCCTTCATCGCTGTCTGATGAGTAGATCCTTGCTCTCTCCTCTGGAATGAGAACAGAGGGAATGTTACAAACACATCCCAGTGGGACACTATTAAAAAAAATAATAAAATGAGCGCAGTTACCTCTCAGGCCTCCTCCTCCTTTGTATTTACTCTTGATAGCTGCCAGGCTGATGGCTTCTTCGCCCTCCTCCTCGTCATCGTAGCGGTCAGGCTCCAGGTAGCTGCTGCTCAGGCCCCTCTGGTGCTGCTTCTCCCTCATCCTCCTCTGCTGAGACTCACGACGGATCGACGCTCGCAGACGCTCCTCCTCTTTCTAACAAGAGACACATTGGGCGTGATTACTTGCCATTTTTAAAACAGAAAGAGTGGAAAGGAACTAATTGACACCCCAGTTTAACAGCAGACATATACTGCTAAGTTTCTGTAATTTTATATTATAAAATAATATATTATCCTCCAAGTTTCTTTATTTAAAAAAAGGCTGAAACATTTAATTGGATTAATCAAGATAAATCAATGTTGAAATAATAACAGTTTAATAACTAATTTAGTAATGAATTAATCAATAACTTCAGTATAAAGATTCTAAAATATGCCTTTAGCTGCAAAAAAAATTAATACAAATTTTCCATAAGCATGAAACACATGTTTAATAAATTGATAGGTTCTATCCAGAAGTCCTTAGTGGGCACCGTTTTAGCAGCTTATGGTTTAAATTCTGTGTAAAACCTTCTGCTATCCGATTATCAATGGATTCATCAAAAGACGCATCAACAGATTAATCAATTAGCAAAATAGTGGTTAGTTGCAGCCCTATAATTTTCTTGCAGGTTAATTCAAAAACAAGGAAAACAGCTTTGTAAACCTTTAATGTCCCATCAAGTTTGGATGATATGCTGGTCAAAAACCAAACTAAGTGATGAACTCAAAGTTTTATCTGCATCTCTGCTCAACGCTGCTCTCCTTAATATAATCTAGAGATATGCTAGTTTTAGGTCTCCAACCAGACCAATGTGGTTTGGTTGGAAAATTAGTTCTACAGTCATTAAGCTGCACTATTAAACACAAGCTGCTTTGTTGACACGGTTTATCAAATAATAGGGATATCCCAGCCTGATATTAGCCAAAAAACTAATATCGGATTTTATCAGCCGACATCTAAAATCTCTGATATGTTCATGCTGATAGAAACTCTGCTTCTGTTTAAAGTTTCTGTAACTTTTAACAGAGGCAGAATTAACATTGGTTCATTTTGTTGTTTTCATACCTTTTGTTGTTGACTTTTGCTTCTTGTTTTAGTAATATTACTTAATTGGGCCAATTCTAATAGTCTACAGTATAAAATAAATAATAAAGCCAGTAGGATTAATACTAATATCATATTGGGTCAATATCGGTATCATATCAGAAATTAAAAAGTTAATATCAGGACATCCCTTCTAAATAGCATGGTATGATCATATAATAAAAAAAATGACACATAGTTATTGAAGATTCACCCAGATCATTAATGGGAGGCATACCATTTAAGTCGGTGGTCTGCAACCTTTCCAATCCAAAGAGCCATTTCTCAGTCCTCATTCTGGCTAATACACAACTCTTTTTTAAAACATTATTTTTTTTTTTTCCGGTTATTCATATTTTTAGCATATAAGATAAGGAAAATGAAAAGTCATAAAGAAAAAGTCAAAAAGTCATAAAGAAAAAGCATAGATTTTGTTCTGAAGGTTATTATATGTAAAAAAAAAAATGATGATGATCCAAACTAATTAACAGAAAAAAAAATTCTAAAAACCTATTTCTGCTGCTTTTAATGTCATTCTGTTGTGAAAATCCAATTCAAATCTTTATAAAAACCCATAAAGAATGCAAGACTTGCATTTGTTATCATAGTACATTCGTTTGTTTCTTAATATAAATTTTAACCATTATTAAGAGCCATTGTAGGGGGGATTCAAGAAGGGCTTAGGTTGAGATCGAGCCCTCCGTTCATACCAACAGTTTTTATTTTACTTACTACTGCTTGACTTTATTTGAGTAAATGTGTTTTGTTTTGCCTTTCTGTAACCCAGTATGATGCTGGTCAACATCTAGCGTAATGCAAACCCCTTTAGAGGCTGAGACAAAAGGATTCCAGGACTGGATGCGAAAAGGTCAAACAGATGAGTACAGACAAACAGAACACCGGCGGCCATTACTTTGATCATTTCATTACGCTGCGACTCTGGATCTCTTCCAGCCATGGGGAGGATCCTAATCTTCTGCGTCTTTGAGCAGCGGTCAGCCAGAGACAGCGTCATCTTCCTATGGGTGGCGCTGTCAGTGGAGTGGGGTCTGGAGGGAGATCAGAAGATTGCAACAAATGGGAATTTAATACTAAACATAAAAGGGCAAGAAGAGTCTAAAGAAACCTAGATCAAGATACGGTTCTGTCACCACAATTAAGTTCTTAGTGTAATCAAAGGTCTAACAGATATTTTGCCTTTCCAGAAATCTTTCAAAGGTCAGGCTATATTAAATGGGTTCTAAAGTATCTGCAAAGTCCAGGCTTTATCGGGTTACAAGCCACCTTGTAATATAGGCTAGTTTCCCCAAACTTTCCTGAAGTACCCTGCGTGTTCCAGCAAAGCCCAAGAAAAATTATGTCCTGTTTCTGGAAAGTTTTGGCAGATTTCAAGCTTGCTTAACCTTTAAGATTTGGAAAGCTGTCCTAGAAGTACAGAGAAGGAACCTTGAGTTCCAAAAGGTTACATGAACATAACAGGGAAAGTCTCCTTAAGCTTCAGTAAAAGTATCCCAGAAAGCTTCTGGAAGCATAGTTAAGCCCTGGCGGACTTAGAACATAACTTTTAATAAGTCAGACAGTAAATCAGAGAGAAACTTCTCAAAAGATAATAAAACCTAATTAGTCCTTACTCCTTTTAATCTTTAGGTCTTTATTAAAGCAGCAGAGTGATTGGTTGGTGTAATGAAACTATTACTTTAGGCATAAATATGACAGGGGGTTCTTATGCTGAGTTTTTCTTGCCTGATATCAGGCAGTTTCAATTTCCTGTCGGAAGACAAGGCTTCAAAGCTTGGAATAAAAAAAATACAAA